AGACGATACCATGTATTTTTAATTGTTTTGTTTTTAGTTTTTTGAGACAGAGTCTTGCTAAATACTGAGATTGGCCTCAAATTTGCAATCCTCCTTCATCAACCTCCTGAGTACCTGGGATTACAACTGTAMATGTATGTGCCACTGCATCCAGATTTTTTCATTTTTGGATACTGGGGATTGAATCCAGAGGTGCTTAATTAATGGGCCACATCCCCAGCCCTTTGTTATATTTTATGTAGAGAYAGGGTCTTACTAAGTTGCTTAGAACCTCACTAAGTTGCTGAGGCTGGCTGTGAATTTACTTACCATCCTCCTTCCTCAGCCTCCCAAACAGCTAAGATTACAGGCATGCACCACCACCGGCCCACTGCATCCAGCTTTGATGCTATGTTTTATGATTGTATAAATCATTAAGGCCCTAGATTCACTGGGGAAATGTAACTTGTCAGGTAGTTTATGGTTTTCCTCTATATGTGATGTTAAGTGCAAAAGAAGTTGTTAAATACATAGTAAAATTTTGCTTCTGTTGAAAGGCAAGACAGAAATAATCAGCTTACTGTAGTCAACAAATAAAAGGAAGATAAACTTTAAAAATCATACTAGAAAATTACTTAACTCTTTTAGAACATGAGCTATTTTGGGTTAGATTTTTTTCTTTCTTTCTTTCTTTTGAGAGACTACTTTAGATCTTTGGAGTAATTTCTGCAGCTTTAAGTATTTAGTATGGCTTAGAATTGTGTCATTTCATTTTTGGATTTCTCTACTAGCCTCATTGATAATATCTTCAGGCACTTTGTTAGTTTGAACCTGGACAGACCTGATAGGTCTGATACCCACTTCAGGATTAGCACCAAGGCAGGGTCAAACAAAGTGCCTAGAGGCCAACCCAACCCAAGAATGGCGACTGATAATTGTCAAGACAAAGACCAGTTCAATATTAAGAGGCAATATCAATTATAAGACCAAAAGGGTGAGTCTGAAGTAAAAACTATGAAGCAAGACAAGATTAGGAGTCAAGGTACCAGACAAATGCCCAAAAACTAAGAGCAAAGTGTATAACGCAATAGAGAATGTTATTTACCATAAGTAATTCAAGAAGGTTTGTCCCAGAAAAAGCAAAGTAAGAGAAATACATTCTTAGGGACTCCTCTATACTCTTACCACTAGAAGGTACAATGAACAATAAGTACAAGGTCAAGGGGTCCTCTGGCCATCCTAGCATGGCCCTCGGCAGCTATTAGACAAGACACATGTCTCAGTGACTGCTTCTCATTGAGAAGCAAGGAGAGTAAGGAGAAAAATCCATCTTTAAAGAACCCAAAATATTACAGAGAACTTAAAAATRAATATGATTTCCTTTAGTCTTCTCTGAAAGAAATAAGTTGTGAAGCCCTATTTGGTAGTTCCATGATAGAGGCTTAACATTACGTACTGTGGCATAGAATAGTCAAAGGCATATTTACTGTTTTCATGAAATTTATGGTTTAACTATAAAGATATGTCTCCAAGGAAAGTGAAGGTCACCTGCYAATCTTCTAAGTTTTAGCACTTCAGAGTTTCTTTTTTTTTTAATTGGTTGTTCAAAACATTACAAACTCATGATATATCATCTTTCATACATTTGACTCAAGTGGTTATGAACTCCCATTTTTACCCCAAATACAAATTGCAGAATCACATGGGTTACACACTCACATTTTTACATAATGGCATATTAGTGACTGTT